TTCACCGGTCCCGTGATCTCCGCAGAGATCCGCGATCCACTCGTTGCGCGCGCATCGTCCCAGCTAATCGTTCTCGATTCGACCAATCTCGATTCACCTTCCCCATCACCTCAAATATTCGATAAACGCGTGAAGAAATAATCAATTACAAACATTATAAACGTCGTGTCCGAATATCGAATTGCCCGTTCGAAATTAATTCTCTGGATGTATTTTAGAAAAAGATGGGTTCTTCTTATTCGATGTAACGACATTGAAAGAAAAATTGATTAGATCAGGAATCACACGTGAAATCCTGTTGCTGTAAAAGAAAAAAATTGAACCGTAAATTGTATGGTTAAAAATATGAATTTATATATTCGATTGTGAAATAAAATATTTCCAAAAGAATGGTAAAAATTTGCTTGGTTTTAAGTTATTATTAATTAAATAATAATTAAAGTTACAGTAAATTGTAAAGTTACAAGAATAAAAGAATTCGATGGAATTCAATGGAAATTCTAAAGGATTTAATATCTTTTGAAATATATCAATTTAAATATTATAGGAAGAACTGAAGAATGAAAAAAAAAAAAAAGATACAAAAAAGTATTAATTTAGATACAATAAATAAAATTATTCTAAATTTTAAAAAGTTAGTAACAAAAAATATGCGAGAACTCTGAAATATTCTTGCTGGAATAATATCTCGAAATCAAAATTCTCGCCATTTAGAACGATCGTTGTAAGTTGTAGAATTAAGATTAAAGTGTTGAAAGTCCTCTTGGAGAGGGAACAGATTGTTGAATATTGGTGAAAATTGTGGCGAGCATTAGGAAGATGGATTCGATCGGTTCGTTCTACGAACATTTCAAAGTTTTAAACGGAATCATTTGATAATTGGAATTCTTGGGCAATGGAACAAGTAAGTTGTCGCAGAGAAACGGATTTGAATATCCAATGAAAATTTCGACAGAGATAAAGATGCATTGTGAAGATATTTTAACCCTTTGCACTCGTATATATATTCGATAAGGATACCAATCAACTCGGAATTTTTTCGAAAGGCTACTACCCATCAACTCGGAATTTTTTTTCATAATCAATCGAAAGGAAAATATTTTTATGCGAACATAATATAAATTAAAATTTCCGGTTTAGTAGAAAAAATTAGCAAATAAACATATTTAATCTGCATCTCACACTCTTTTGAAATATGAAAATCTATATAATATGTTAGGGACATCATATTTCTTGAAAACATGATTTTAATTAATTGTAAATAAATTTAATTAAATGAATATTATGTAATATTATCTGGCTATAATTTGACCCCAAATAATGTAAGATGTCGCCTATATGGCGACAGACGAGTGCAACGGTAATATATATAATGTCGCCTATATGGCGACATACGAGTTAATTGGACGAATTTTTAATTGGGAAATTTTCTAATGCAAATTAATCGAGATAATTCGCAAAGAAACGTTCAACGTATGCAGAAGAGCGTATTTAATTAGACATAAAGCACGATAGATTTAATCTAAATCTTCCATCAAATTAAGTTGGAGCCATTAGCTCTCTCTGTACTACTCGCTATTAAGTATTAAAACTCACTTCTACGGACGGTAAAAAACGCAATCTTTCTTTCGAGGGATCTGGAAAAAATCGAACCCGAATTTGATCATCGAACAAGTATTCTTCAACGCGAGTATTCTTAAAGCTTAATAAAAGGCGAAATCTTTCCCCAATTCGACGGAGAATTGCAGAGACTCTCTAATGGAAACGCGCACAAAGTAACGAACAAGAGACGGTCTCCTTAACCGTTGCACTCNTAGGCGACATTATATATTTTACCGTTGCACTCGTATGTCGCCATATAGGCGACATCTTACATTATTTGGGGTCAAATTATAGCCAGATAATATTACATAATATTCATTTGATTAAATTTATTTACAATTAATTAAAATCATGTTTTCAAGAAATATAATGTCCCTAACATATTATATAGATTTTCATATTTCAAAAGAGTATGAGATGCAGATTAAATATGTTTATTTGCTAATTTTTTCTACTAAACCGGAAATTTTAATTTAATTATGTTCGCATAAAAATATTTTCCTTTTGATTGATTATGAAAAAAAATTCCGAGTTGATGGGTAGTAGCCTTTCGAAAAAATTCCGAGTTGATTGGTATCCTTGTCGAATATATATACGAGTGCAAAGGGTTAACACCTGAGAAATCGAAACTAAACGGAAACACGGCGCCAGAATCAACCGCCTATTACTACGCCGGCAACGGCGTAATCTGTCCTCAGACGTTCGAAAACGGAAACTTATCTCTCCGCGCGTAATTCAGACATCCCTCCTCCTCCATCCATCCCCCTCTCTGTGGACGATTTAAAGGGAAATTTGGGTTGGGAAATTGACGACGAGCTCGACTCGGATCGAACGGATTATACGAAAAGTCGGAGAAATGGCAAAGGTGGCGTTACACTTCCTCGCAGAGAGGAAGTCGCTTCGTTTCGTCGAGCCTTTCGAGAGTTTCCAAGGGCCCGCCTTATAAATTATTGATAAACCTCCCAAAGGTTTTCCACCCAAGGGTAAACGATTCTCTTCGTTGACTTTTCCTCTCCACCTATCCGTTTTTGTTCCCTTTACTTCCTCGCTTCGAGGTTCGAGGCTCTGGAATCGTGTCCGCGAAAGAGGAGCGCGGAAAATAAGAATTCGAAATCGTAACTCGGCGCAGAGAGAGAGAGAGAGAGAGAGAGAGGGAGGGAGAGGGAGATCGGAATAGAGGGCTCGCTAACGACCGATGCAATAACGAGTGAATAAAACCTTAACAATCATAACACGCGGACCCGTGGGTTTCTTGCAACATCGATCTTAAGCCACGACTAGCGCCCGGAGCTTCAAGGGCTTATTACGATCTGTCTTACCTTGAAAACCCATTACAACCAACTCAACATTTTTTCGCGGTCGTAAACTTTCGTTTCCTAAGAGTGACGATCCGGGTTTGCGCCAAGTCTCCTACCAATCATCGGGGAAAGCATTTCGTATTTTTTCTTTTTTTTTTTTTTTTTTTTTTTTTTCCTCTTAGGTGGGAGTGGAATGAACGCGCTCGACCGGAAGATCGAATCGACAGATCGAATGGAGTGTTACGCTGTGTGTTATTCTATTCGCTAAACCGTGTTATCAGATTATTATGTCATGAGTTCTTCGATCGAGATTTCGATTTGAAAATAGAAAATGAACGAGTTGGAATGTGTTTCTTTCACCTTTGATCTAAATGTATTTGTTTTTTAATATAAGTAATTGGTAAAAATTGAAAAAAGAATTTAACAGTGAAAAATAATAATTGATCAAAGAATCCATGTTTCCATGTAAATCAGACCGAAAATATGTATGTTCAAGCGTAATAAATTAAGAGGAAAAAAAAAAATTGTTTCGATGATGGAAACAAAAAATAAATATTCAAAAGTGAAGAGGGAAGTGAAAATACGCGACAAAGCATCGATCGAAACGAATCATAATTTCAATAACATATGTGTATCTCGATGGAATAAAACGAAACATTGAAATTGATTTATTGGGATTTATTTTCTTTGCATATATAATATGCATAAAAAATTCAATAAACAATTGCTAACTAATTATATGCTTCCAAAGAAATAATTATTTTAATTTATGTTCATTTCGATCGCGTTATTTGTAACAATATATCGATACACTGTAATAATGCAATTTCGATTCTTTATCGAACAGAAAAGCGTTTGGAATTAAACAAGATTTCTATCAATTGTTACTTTTCCAATATTTTAAATGAAAAAAATAATGAAACAATTTCATCGACAATTCAAATAACTATTATCTCTAATGAATCAATGTCTCGTTCAATTTTGAACGACAAATAAAAATACAAAATGCAATTTCGATTCGTTATCGTTCGATTAAACGAAAAATATTCAATTTCCTCTCAAAATCAAAAGTAATAAAAAACAAAAAAAAAAAAAAACGAATACGTAGCAAGAAAAGTATTGCTTCGAAAAGTAATCGATACTAATGACAGAACTTTGCGACTCGTCTCTACCACGGCGACGAGGAATTAAATTTGAAAACGGTCGTCAAACATGCGGATGAAATAAAGCATTTGTATAAAGAACCGCGAGCATAGTTACTCAACCGCGACCGGCTATATTTAATTATGCAGAATCTCGCGAAATCCATTTGCTCGGCAGATAGAGACGCGTCGATTTTATTCGATGTCCCCCCTTCCCCATCCTTTTCGCTATCCACCACTGCCAAGTCGTATTAATCTTCTTTACATTAGTGGCGATGGTATTTACATCGAGATGCTATAATGAAAACTTGATCGAACCAACTTAGCTATGCCATGAATGTAAACATGTCTGTATAAATATTCTGTTTACAAATGTCAACGGACTTCCTACTTCTTGGAATTCGTGGAAACATTCGTACCGGCAATATAAAAAGAAAAAATATATCGTAGAGAAATGTACGTAATATTAAATAGGTTATTGCTAATCGAACAAGAATAGACAAATTCATTTATAATTCAAAGTTCGCTTCACTTCACTTCATTGTACGCGAGTGCCATTTTAAATTTAACGAATTTTATTGAACAAATTCGGTCGGTTCTATCTTTTTCTATTCGCCTATGTATTATAAATTCGATATTATCGATGATTCTAACTTTATCCGTTTCAAGAATCCGTTTGGAAATATGTGAAAATTGCGGTCACGATCGATAGAGGAGAATGAACTTCATCGAATTGCAAATACGTTCGACAAATGTTGTTCGCGATGTAACGATACGTTTACCGACTAATTTTCTAACCTATACGGCTAGAATACGGTTGAATTTCGTGTTTCGATATGCGACGAATATAACAATCTAGATGGTCAAATTGTCAATCAATCGCGGTAACATTTCGATATGCCTCGGAAAATCACGTGATCGAATCATCTATCGGAAATATAAATCGATTGACAGTTACCTGTGTCGAAGCGTTACACGACGAATCGCGGACGTTGTTCGAATATTTTCAGCGTAAATCCTGCCGAGACTCCACCGAGCTTTTTTTCTCCACCACTGTCTCCGCGATCAAGATAAACGCCCGAAAAACTTCGAGCTCAAGGACTTTCGACCCCGAGTCAACGTACACGAAGACATACCGACACGTCTCTCGAAGTTTCTCGGTTAAAAACCTCGTATCGAAAAACGCCACACAAATTATCTGGCCCTTTTCTGTTCTTGGCAAGGATCCACTCGATTTAAATTATTCGATCGAATTCGTTTGACCACGAAACACCAAAAAACACTGTCACAACACCGCGAGAACATACGTACGACGATACACGAGACGCGACTGTAATCGGAAACTCGAATCACTGTGCACGACGCGCCACTTTTTGCACGTGATTCTTTCGATCGTGTTTCGAAACGGTCACGGGCATGAGAATTTTCAACGACAGGTCGGCGAACTTTTTGAACGATCACATTTTCCCGCTGGTCGTAACGGAACGAAAACACACGATACACACGCGATGCTTGCTTGCCGCGAACTGACAACGCGGGACAATGCTGGTAGGCCGAAGCCGACCGAACGCGCACGAAAATGGCCGAACAGTCCGCAAGTATTACGTGCGTCGACCGATTGACGGCCGCGGGGCTATTGATATTTCCATGCTTCTGCTAATCCTTTCTGTCGGCGGTCAAACCGACGAGAATTAAATTCTTTCCTCTCTTAGAAAATAGAGACAACCGATAGACAATTTTCTTTTCGATCTCGTAATTCTTATATATTCTCTCTTTGATTATTCGAGTACAAATGCGAGTTAATTTGTCGTTTAAAAACGTTTCCGTTGACTACATTCCACTGCACATTTTCGTGCGCGATTACCATCTTTACCGGAAATGCATTTGAATTTTATTCGAATAATTATTACGAATAATTATTACATTCAAATTGATTGTTTATGATACAATAATGAATTATTTATACATGTTCTTTGAGATAATTTAACGAAAATCTCTTTATCAAAATGATTCTATTTTTATAATAAATCTGAAATTTAAAAAATCCTGTTTTACGAAGAAAAAAATTATACCATAATTTGTATTACAGACACGTTTCGACTAGAATCTCTGGCCAGAAAAGAATACTCCAATACTCAAATTTTCAGTACACGAATTTCAGTGAATTCTTCATTAAACCGTCGTTGCTATCTCGTCTATTCCTCTTTCTCTCTACCGTCGCAACATCACTGTGACAAATGGCGCGAGGTATACTCGAGGTTAATGACAAACTTTCCTCACTGTATCGAGTTGGACAAAGAGAGAAACAGCAGTAAATTTTATTTGTTTCGAAGTAAGTATTGCGCGTAAAATAGCCGTTATATAGCCAACTATTAGACGAAAGCGTATAAAAGAAAAATTTTAAACAATGCTAAATTGATACAAAGAATTAGCATAAATTTTAATCCAAGTAATTTCGATCTGAAAAATTATGAAAAATATCTCTCGTTTATCGTGACAAGGAATTGAAAAATTATTTTTGTAGAATCGTTTAAAATGTCTAATGATCCGATACCGTTTCACATCGACTATTCTAAACTAAGAGATTCTCAGAATTCGATCGAACTCTCCATATTTTCTTAAATAGCAAGGCGTATTATTACACGACCAACCGACATTCTTTCATCGACAAATTATATAAGAACTTGTACAAAATTTCACTCCTTAAAGAACTTCAAATTTCAGAATTTTTATCTGATTTTTACGCTCAGTCCCTGCGTTAAAAATATTTTCTCTTTTAATCCATTTATCCTCGATTACGAGATTCAGTTATGCAAACACATATCGTATTTCCGCTCTCAACGGAATTAACGCTCACCGCGGAATTAATGTATTACATTTATTACCCACATCTCGCCCGAATCAAAATTGTACAATATCTATACAAAACGTATGTAATATCTGCCATTTGCTATCTATTCTCCACTTAACTCCAAATATCCCCAATTACGCTTCGTTCTATATTCTCGAAATTTACGAGTCGCGAAATTAACATATTCGTTCAAATTCTATTTCGGATAGATTTTTATTAATAAAATGACAATATCAATTTGACATATAAATTACTATTTACAATCCAATCTAGATTATCCATTACTTCATATATATATATATATATACATATATGAATATCAATTACAATTTTCATACGTACTAAAACCATTTCACTTTTGCACTATCATACTTCCCCTTGGACAGCTCTTCCAACAGCATCCATATCAATTTCCTCGCGAGCTTAGCATCCAGCTGAGCTAGCTTTAGATCAGGCAACGCACCACTCGCATACATCGACCACCGCCCTAATCGTATCTACCGACTTAGCCGATCTGTTGCAGCCGTTACAATCGAAGATTCCATTCTATCCGCGGCACAGCACGTAGGTGCCTTCGGCGCGCGCCCGGATAGAGACGTCCACGCTGCGTATCGCTGCCACTCCTAACTTATACAGTTAGCGGCAGCAGTCAATGCCGGTAAACCGGTCGTGAAAATAAAGCATTTGAAATTAGCCAGACGAGCGTGTTCTTCTTCCCGTGCACGGAACGGAGGAGAGCAGAGGGACAGAGAGGGGACGATCGCCGAGGAAGTGGAGGGACTTTGAAGTCGAAAATAGCCAAAAATCCGAGTCGGAGAGGCGGCGGCTCTCAGCGGCGGTTAGCTCTCGGTGGCCTCTTCTTCTTCCTCCTTCTCCCCCTCCTCCTCCCCCTCCTCCCCCTCCCCTTCCCTCGCCCCGTTGGCTAGAAAAGTAACGGTGCCCGAACGATCGTTGAACTTGCTACGATGTGACGGCCGGGGCCATTAAAGAGAGGCCAAACAGAGAGTATGGGATTCATTGTCAGCCGCGAGAACGATCGTTCGACTCGGCTGAGCCGGGAAACGCCGTCTTCCTCGACCTTCCTCTTCCCGCCGGCAAACGTAACGATGCGATAAGATACGCGGATTTATTGAAGTGTAAAGCCTGCAAATTATCAACCGTCGAGCGGCCACGGATCACCAAGGACCGAGGGGAGGGGGAAAGGAGGAGGAGAAGGCGGCCACCATCGCTCCCTCGGCTATTGGAGAAGTTTATCGCGATCCGTGCACAACACAAGGAGGAACACGAGCGGAGGAAAGGGTACGAGAACCAGCCTCCGCGAAGATCGACGCGGATGATATTCAAGACTGCACGGCCATTGCGTAATATGTAGAGTGTTGGGCGATCTGGCTTCGCACGTAACACCGGTGATACGGGTGTGCTTCGATCGGTTCCATCGTTGCTGCTTCTTTCGTTTCTTTTTCTTTTTCTTTTTCTTTTCTTTTTTTTTTTTTTTTTTTTTTTACTCGACGAGGCTGATAATACGATAATGTGCTTTTTTCCGTCGACAGCAGACTTATACAGGTTTATACCTATTTTTATTTTTATATTTTCTTTTTATATTCTATATTTTATTTTTATTATATCTATTTTATTTTATTATATATTTTATTTTTATCTATTTTATTTTTATTATATATATTATATCTTCACGAAGCTTCGTGAGATCGTGTTGTTTCGCGCGAGTTTATTTTTCAAGTGACGTTTCATTTAATGTAACGAGAGAGAGAGGGAGTTAGGTAAAATTGCAACGGAGATATTTTTTAACTAGAATATAGATCGTGGTATCGATAGGGGAGTGTTATGGAAAATAAAGTATTCCTCGAACGAAATTCAAGTTTATATATCGCTAATCTTTCCCGTGGACTGACTCTTACTTGGCGGAATATCTGGAAAAATGTTATGTCATCGAATGGAACGAGAATTGTGGCTTAACGAAGAGAAGATGGGAATTACGATTACTACGCGATGAATCCAACAATTAAATATATAATAATTGTTAATAAATGTACGAAGCAATCGAATATATAATAATTAACGTATAATAGCAATTGTAAATATTTGATCAGCCACCAGATTAAGTAGTGGCATTAAATGCGCTTCGAATCGATACTTTCTCCAACGAACGAGCATTAACATCCATTAATTATTTCTCTGGAGAGAATAACAAACAGTCACGAATAATCCCTCCGTCGAATAAAACGATTTAATCACGATTTGATCGTTAAACTTATTGTTATCATCAAAATGTAAAATAAATTGGGACGTACATGTTGGATACAAACAAAACTCGTAATAGGTCATTTCCATCCACAAACGTGAAAACGTATTGCGCAAAGTCATGAATATTTATGATACTCCACGTCTTCAATCTTGGAAAAAAAAATTGGCAACAACGAGCAATCGAATACGGTATTATAATGTATACGCATTAACGTTTAAATCAACCAAAATGACTGACAACAACGTCTCATTGTTCTTGCGACACGACGACGCGCACACAACGTTGCGCGTCTAAAAGTGGCCATTCCACTTTCTAACGAGAGCTGGCTTTTCCATTCTATTATCCGCACCGGGGAAGGAAAAAGTGGAGATAAAATGATCCGCAATTGGTGACATTTATTATGGACTAAATGTAGCGATGGGATCAAGCGAGACGAGCATATATATATATATAATTCCTTACTGCACAATTAGATCATGCGTGAAAGGCAATGGAAAATATTTAATAACAAGATGCTACGTTTAAAATCTTATAATTAAATCTACAAAAAAATGGAGAGACTTTTTTTAAAAAATTCAAAAAGAAGGATCATTCTCGACATAATGAAAAATTTTAATTTATACTCTGTATTATTGCACTCTCGATAAACACGGGACAATCGAGGCTCTCGATCGAGAATCGCGGAAAGAATACGATGTTCTACTCGCGATGCGCTCTACGCCATCGCTGGCCTGCCGTGAGTCGAGATAATTCAGGACGAATCTAGAGGGGCGATGATACCCGTGGAGAAACATATTGTCGTAATAAGAAGGCTCTCCGCGTAATACGGCCACCGTTTTATAATGCATTCGCGTTAAATAAACGGCGAGCACAAATTGCGGGAAGTAATCATGTGTCGTTCGAAGCGATCGCCTCTCGCGATAACGCATCCAACGTCCGTTCGGCGAATAAAGTAGTGCTCTCGAAAAACTGTTTTATCGATCTTTAACGTCCGTGCGTAGTTAACTTTTTTTCTCTATCCCCCCCTCTTTTTCCATCTCAAATTAAACGTATTCGATCTCGAGCGAGCACAAGTGTATCGCGCATGTACACGAAGGATAAGTTTTGTGTTTTGTTTTGATGGAGATTACATACAAGTTTTGTTAGGTTATGGTGAAATCGTATAATAGTGTTCAAAGTATTAATACGTTGATTGTTTTGGAAATATTAGAAACATTATGGCCGCTATTAAAATTTCTATTTTTGATAAATTTTATATTTATTATTTATTTCATATCATAAAATCAAACGATTAACTCTCTGTTCATCGTGCATTATATTATTAAATCATCGTGATTAATTATCAAAAGCAATTAAATCCGGTTCAC